ACATTAATTTATTTGTATTTTACGGTTTATCAACCTTTCGTTCGTTATTTAAAGCTAGAAAATTGCGAGAAGATTGTAAGTTTTTTTGTTGTTGAGATAATGATAATTTAGTGATACAATTTGTACTAAATAACCTATTGCTTAAGAGGTGGATTCATGTCTTTCCCAAAGGTATTTGCTTGTAAATGAATATAATGAACCCGACTGGAATTGGATCTCTGTTCTCCGATTTCCAATTTAGAGCTGTTATTTATAACACCGCGCTCATATTCCAAGCTTACAGCACCTGATATTCCTAAGCGTTCATCTAGATATTGGCCAAGCTCGACGTTGCTTACCTTCGGTGATCGTACGAGATGTGCCACAAGTTTTGTCCATAAAGAAAAATGGAAACAAAAATATATACTTTTGACACTCACAGGTCATATCGAAGGTAAAGCACAGGTGGAGAGAGCAGGCAACTTACTGAAAAGCTTGTGGGAATTGATGTCAGAACGGGGAGTGGGAGACATGTTAGAAAGAAAAACTTTGCCCAAGAGCTACAAATGTGACGAGATTTTAGCTCCCACTTTCTGGGCCGACATGGTACATAGGAGAATTGTAATTAAAAAAAAAATTCTTTCTGAAAAGTTCTTTTTGAACACGATATATTGGTGGACTAATCTACTAAAATCTCTGAAGAGGTGTTTGGATTAATGAACCGTATTTTTCTGTTACACTTAGACAAGTTTTGATTTTTTTTTTCATCATTTGGACTATTTTATAATACTAGTAAAAACCTGTAACAATTTCACGGTATTTCTATTCTAATATTCTGATGGACTTTAATTCTTAGATTAATGATTCAGTAATCTCATGGAGAATTCTATGACATTAAAATGTCCGTAGAAATTCCACTATCACATAATTAACTATTTTAGCTGAAAGACTAAATATATTGTAATAACAATGGTTAATATGAATACAAAGGCACTTCGACGTATTTTAATGGTTAGCAAGCTGGTCTCGCTAGATTAATTACGTCTGTGTAGTAATTCGATTTTCACAGGGTACTCTACACCTTCGTTCTTGATCTATGCTTAGAAAATAACCATAAATATGACTGCAGCTAGTTAGTTTAAGAAGTGGGTACAAATGAAAAGATTTGATAATTTATAACTTTGTTCCCTTTCACAGAAAGTGCCGTTAAACACTGATTTCTTTCTTTCTTTCTTTCTTTCTTTCTTTCTTTCTTTCTTTCTTTCCAGCAAAATCCCCGTCTTAAGAACATTTCTCTTAATAATAATTTTAAAATAATTCAGCAGATATTATTATTTTATTTATGGTAACTGGATTTTAAGCGATTCCCTTACTCAGTTTCCATCGTTTGATTCTGTAGATCTGAAAAAAAACCCGCATTTATTCCGGTCACCATTGCTTCCGGACGTTTGGCTAAGATCAAAGTGTAGTAACTGCTCTTATCAGCTTAAACTGATTCTCTATCTCCCCTTCTTTTTTTCCATTATTTCTTTCATTCTCTCACTAATTTTTCACATGATCAAACAGAATAGTCCATTATTTATGAGGTACTGGCAGGGCGTAAAGGTCGTGCGAACTAACGAAGGGCGGGACAAGCACAATTGTAACAAGAGTTTTGAAATGAGTTTTTGTATAATGTTCAATGCGTAAACGTAGTCTATAGGTGCTTTGAGAAGACACTCAAATGATGTGCCTACTGCCCACGTATGATTACTTATAATATTGCGTTCCTCTTTTGAGACTAGAGTGTCATCATAAATTTTGCCCTGCAAGGACTGGTTAACTTAGCCAAGGAACTAAAATAATTACAGTGATCCCCCATTGGCTGCGCTTTTGCCTTCGGTGAAATAAAGAGTTAACACTGTTTACTTATTAATTCTCCCCGAACTGAAGAATGGCAATACTGAAAATTCGGAATAGAAGCTGAAATGTGCTTCAAGTGAGAAGTTAAACGTTCGCAGCCATATATGGAAGGACAAATTGGTTATTTTAACATTGCTACGATTAACGGTAAGGACGAATCTTCTATACGTTCTTCTTCGATGCCTCATTGCTATCGCCACCGAATGAATTTAAACATGCTATTAGTTTGGCAACTAGGTCTCACCGTTTTTCTGTTAATATTTATTTATAAGTTTATTTATAAGTGTACTATTCGTTCTTGCTTTGAATATGGCTGCCACATCTGACCTGATCTTTCTGCTATATATTTAGAGATGCTTGGGCAACTCGAGGTGGTGTCATGGTTAGCAAGCTTTTCGCGCTAGAACAGTTATGACTGAGTAGTGAGTTCAATCCTCACTGTTTGCCCCATACTTTCGGCCTTGTGCCACATCTAAGCTACGCTTGGAAAATCACTCTTTAGAGATGATAAAAGAATAATATGTAATATACGTGATTCTTTTTTGTTTCCATTTTCATTCAAACTTTCTCGTTACTCACATATTCAGTACATGTTATTCTCAGCATGTTTCTGTAAAAAATTGATATTGCTTCATGCCTCTTCTTCATCTGTGAAGCGATTATCCAACATTCATTGCTATATAGGAAGACTGATATTAGATAACATTTCAGCACGCTTTTCTTACAGAATCTCTATTACAGTATATTGCTGTAATTGTTCATTGTTACTATCATACTCAGGTAAATGTAGAGAGCTGCAAGTAGATACGAGGGTAGTGTAGCGGTTATAGGCATCGAAAGTAAAATCAGTGATCCGGGTTCGAATTCCTGTCTAATGTGTTGCGTTCAATTTTGCGCAGATACCTTTGGGGAAGGTATGGTTTTCATCTCTTCTCATCACCATCTGTGTTAAATAGTAGAGTAGCCATCTGGTAGGCAGTTTAAGAGAATTTTGAATTCAAATCTGGGGTGTCGGGTGTTATCAACAGAAAACGAAATTATTATCTTTCCCCAAAAGTTGTATTTGTACAGATTAAAGTAATGGAAAGTGTGGAGAACCGTGATCACCTATGTCCTGAGTGGACATGACATTGAAAAAAAAAATATATGAGTTGAGGAAAGAAAATCTGTCTCGTATAGAGAGATTGAAAGTATAATTAAATTTTTGAAAAACATCTATGGTTTGTCGAATTTTACCTTGATGATTTTTATGAAATCAGATAGGGAATAACAAACCTAATGGTTTATTTGTGGACCTGTGATTTTTGAGCAGATGGGAATATATTTTTTTACCAAATTTCTTTTCATTATAAAGACCAAGAGGCATTCCATGTAGTGTTGAATAAGTCTGTCGTGTGGACGTAAGATAAGGAAGTAAATGAGGATTATGAGGATATGTAGAACAGATAACGGTTGACTTTAGACTTAAAGTAGGTAATATTAGGGTAGCTGGTCTAGGGAAAAAGCTGTCCGAGTGGAACGTCCTTCTTACAAAATGAATACATAGGGAATGAGGGCGATTTGACCCTGTATACCCGGCAAGAGAGGTCCTATTAGTGAAGGTGTGAACTAGTGAAAATAAGGAATGTAGTGTTTGTGTGTGTGTCAAGCAACTCCTCCGTTTCCACTAGTCTGATTTCAATGATTCATAACTCATTTTAAAAGCCTAAGTTAGGCAGAGGGAACGGTTTTTGTTGTGCTCAGTTTCAGGTTTGCCTGGTTATGCGAGGTTAAACATATATATTAATACATTATACTAGCCATTATCGTTGCTTTCATGGTTCAAACTCTTATTTTCCTTTTGTATCCAAAATTGAAGTGAACGTTTTATTATTGACTAGCTTAAAAGCCGCCCTATCGGGTGACATTTAAGGTTGTTTAAGCTTGCTTTTGAAAGTTCAACGACAATTCTTCTGTTGCCACTTAATTTAAAGATGATTCGATGTACGTAGATCGTTATTTTCGGTACAAACAATTATTTTTATTTCATGGGTGATAGAACAGGGGACAATTTATAAGATAAAATTAATATAGTGTAAAGATGGGAAATAGAAATTAGAATTAGTTATACATTCAGCGTTTGAAGAGATAGAGAAAGATAATAGTTAATTAAGTAAACCCCTATATAACGGAATCTATATGAATAGATTCGAAAAAGGAGCACAATTCTCACACGAATTCCGAGATTGAAAAGCGCCAACTCTATTGTATATCAATTTACCCGCTAGGGGCACAATATCTACATTATATATTATCTACTTCTAAGCAATATGAATCTTCAGGTTTAACTAATAACATATCACTAACCCAGTGGTCGAAATAAAGGGTTCAGTTCGAAATTCCAACCACCTGAAGAAGGCCGGAGCGTACAACGGCCGAAACGTTGTGACAAATATGGCGACAAAGATGAGGACAATAGTCCGACTAATGTAAATAATGACGATATTCCTAAACAGATTTATTTTTTATATGAAAACTAAAACAATCTTCGAATAAAAGAATAGTAATGAAGGACAGTTAATTAATGAAATAAACTGTTTAAAAATCAATATGCAAATTAGTTAAACCTGAAGATTCATATTGCTTAGAAGTAGATAATATATAATGCAGATATTGAGCCCCATAGTCCGACTAATGTAAATACTGTACATAATACCTCATCTCAGAAATATAGACAGACTCTGAATATCGTCATATAAAGTGTTTGAAATTTGCATTTTACTTGGCCTTCAACAATTTGTCATCTATTTGTAAAACTTTCCTTAAGTATAAGAAGCCAATTTATGAATGAAATGTTCATTTGAAATTTTTGTTTCAAAGATTTCAAGTCGTGAGTATATCTTACCTTTGCCTACCCACTACGGTTCTAGCAAAGCATTAATACAAACAGAGTCAAATTGATATATCGTCACAGGTTTCAGGTAATTCATTGTATTGTAATGATTTTCTCGCTTCTCATGATTACTATAGTGAATTTTATCAGCACCGAGTGCCATGTATTTTTGATCTACCAAAAGTAAGCTAACCGTAGTAAGTACTTGTGATCGCAAATGCTGATCGCGCTATGAAATGTTTAACGTTCATAGATGAATATTTTGCACATTTAAAACGACTAGTTGGTCAATTCTTAACTGGGACCAAAGAATAGAAAAAGTTAACAATGTTTTCTGTGAACTGTCGAGGCTTATTTGACATCGAACAACAGCAAAACGCAAATTTTGTGTCGAGGGAATTCGAATATCCACCACATACTGCAGAGAAAACAATGTTGCATTTTATGGTGACTCATACAACATCTGTACGATTCCTTCAGCCATGATACATTACTGCAAAAACCATGATATACAATTGGATTTGCCTCATTTAGCGCAATGGAGAGGTACATTTGAGGCAACACAGAAGAACGAGGAGGAGGAGCAGGGGGATAAAAATAAAAACAAGGACGAGAGGAGGAAAATAATGAGGTGAAGGAGGAGGAGGAGGAAATGAAAAACGAGGAGGAGAAAGGAGGATAAAAAGAACATGTGGAAATAGCAGTAGGGAAAAGAACAAGGAGGAAGGGGAGGAAGATTAAGGAAGTGAAGGTGGACGAGGAATGGAGGAGGAGAAATGGAAAAGGAGAAGGAAAAGTTGGAGTAATTTTAGGGAGAAGAACAAGGAGGAAGAGGAGGAGGAGGGGAACAATAAGGAAATAAAGGTGGACGGGAAAAGTAAGAGGAGGTGAAAAAAAAGAAGTGAAAGTAGCAATAAGGAGAAGAACGAGGAGGAGAAAGAGAAGAATGAAGATGTAAAAGAATGCTAAGTAAGGAGGAAAGTAGGTGAGAAGAAATAAAACAAGTAGGAGTAATAGTAGGGAGAAGAACAAGGAAGAGGAGGAGTAGAATAAGGAGGTGAAAGCGTAAGAGGAGGCGAGAAGAAGTGGATGCAGCAATAGAGAGAGGAACGTGGAGGACGAGGAGAAGAATAAGAAGGTGAACGTGTACGATAAAAGGAGGAGGATAAAAGGAAAATGAAGAAGAGGTGAGAAGAAGAAAAAAGGGGAGTAATAATAGGGAGAAGAACAAGCATGATGAGGGGGGAATAAAGAGGTGATGAGAAAAGGACGAAGAGAAAAGTAAAAGGTGGAGGAAGAATACCAAATGAGAGTATCTGTAGGGAGAAGAACAATGAAGAATAGGAGAGGGATATGACAACCAAGGAAGATGAGAAAGAAGATAATAAAAGAAAAGAAAGGCAGAGGCAAGAAGGAGTAGTGATAAAATGGGTAAGTATGTATCTTGCATATATATATATATATATATATATATACTGGATTGATATATAGTTAGGGTTAAAATAAACAGTAACAAATAAAAAAAAACAGTTGTAAATCATCCTGAAATTTTAATATGAAGCATTAATATTGATTTGAAAGGTCTGTGTGAACGACAAAAAAGATGCATGCTTGGAAAGAAAGGTAGAATGAGGAAAAAAAGAAATTATTCTGAGAGTGAGAAGATGACAAATTAATGATAAGAATATATTTGAGAGAGAGAGAAAGAGAGACACTGAGAGAGAGAGAGAGAGAGAGAGAAGAAAAGAAAAGGAGAGAAAAAGAATTGGGAACATGAAAAATGAAGTTTGAATAGTAAGAAATGTTTTGTTATTGAAAGTAATAAAAAAGAAATTTTTAAAAGGGTAACGAAAAGAAAGAGAAAAGAGAGAAAGAAGAATAAAAGAGAGAAGAGGTGAAAGAGAAAATAATAGGAAAAACATTACGATACAAAAGACGCAGAAAGGAAAGAGAAAAGAAATGAAAAGAAATTGAGAAGAAAGAAAATTCAAGAGATATGAGAATCAGAGAGAGAGAGATAGCAAAGAGAGAGAATAGTTAAAGTTAAAAAGATACGAAATAGAGAAAAGAAAAAAAATAAACAGAATAAAACAAGAAAGAGAAGAGAAAAAAAAGAGACGAGAAAATACAGACGAAAATGAAAAGAACAGAAAAAAAATGGCAAAGAAAGGAAGCAGATAAGAATAAAAGAAAAGAGCCAAGAAAAGAAAAAATAAAGTAAAAGAAAAAGACTGAGCGAAAGAAGAGAGATAAAAACGGCGATTAACGCATCTCTCATGAGTCTTTACAATTTGATTAATTTTAGCGAATTCGCAGTGCGGACTTATTAAAATTTTGGTTCAGCTTGCCAGAGAAACCCCAAGTTATCTGCGCTGACATAAAAATAAGACAGTCGCTTTCGGCAGATAACTCTTCAGTGTTTTCCGTTAAGAGAATTGAATTTATTTCACACTTCCAACAAGTCTATGGAATTTTATTACCTAAAAGTTTCACTGGAGTTGTTTTTTCGGCTACCTTTATCTTGGTAGTAATGTTACAAGATAAACCTTCATACGAAATGATAATGTCGTAGGCAGTCTTCTCGTCGTGGATTCTGATCTCGTCATGAATTCCAATTTAAATTGACAGGAGAAAGATAAGGAAACCCTATTTGAGTAAAACAATCCAGAAAATACAGAAGGAGTTTTGTTTTACTTTAATAGGGGTCTTTTTATTTATTTATTTAGTTTGAACCACAAACGAGTTTCTTGCTTATCGCCTACACGTTCTCCGTTAAATATCAGAAAGGAAAGTTCTCCGGCGATGTCGAAATAATGCGTTTCCATATTTTTAAAATTTTATTCTTTAGGATTTTCCTATTTTAATTTTCAAATAATTTACACACTTTTCTAACATATTAGATTTTCGAGGAAATGGAGCACACTGACACATTTTTGCAAATATATTTTGTTTAATATAAATCATTGGTGATTTTAAAATATGTTGTACTTCATGAATCAACTCATGAATCAGTTCCTCTCTGCTACACACACTCCGAAATTTGGGTTTAATTGAAATTTTCATAAAGAGGTGAAAAGTAAATCGAATGCTATGGGGAAAGAAACAATGCAGGATGATCAAACATTAAACACAACTAGCTTTTAAGGAGAGTATAGTGAAAACCATATAATTCCTCAACCTCCAATGTTTACCATTGTCTCATATTTTCCATCTTTAAATCTCTTCTCAATGAAAATATTGCGATATCTAGTATAAAGAATTGTGAGCCCGCGGTAAAGCAAGATATATTACAGGTGTTGCTGTCAGAATCCGGCTAAGTGTAGCTATTCTGAAATTTACAAGATCCTAAAGGCAGAGAGAGCTCCAGTTATTAAGAGAATAGGTCAACGCTTTGAAGTAACAGATTCCAGAAAGAAAGGATTGGAACGCCTAAAGCCCTAACATACTATCTACTATTGCCAACTGAAAAATTTTTGAGTTCTTACAGACAGAAAAATATACCTGCAAAACCATAGCCTTTTCGAGAAAGATCATCGTAGTTTTTTTTAATGTAGGTTTTTAACATAATGAGAAATTGGAGTTTTTTTTACAGAATATGGGAAGTTGGAAAAAGTGGGTTTTAAAAAAAACGTTTGCGCATTTTTTTTAATTAATTCACCCCAAGCAAGGCAATAAAGCCACTATGAAGCAATAAGTTACTGAGCGTGAGAGAATATGATAAAAAAATACTATTAGGGAGAGAGAATGAATAAAAGAACAAGAATTAAGAATACATCAAATAACGATTAACTTGAATGCAAGAAGCCGAACGAGATATGCTAGACACTGTTAACATAGAACTTACGGTTACATCTAGCCGCCATTTCTACTGTAAAATGATGAGATCTTACTGTCTATCTATTACTGAGCTTAAATTCATAAAGTTTAGATACCATAAAGAAAAGTTCATCAGAATAATTGCCATGGAAGTATTTATGGAACAAATACGGGGAAAATACGTTATGGCGGTGGGAAAAGAACTGAATCCAAGATGCCGACTGAGGACTAGTATCATTGCTGATTATTCTTTGTATTTTATCAAGAATCTCTATATATCGTTATAAATATGTAAGACAGATTCTGGCAAGAGAACTGTCCAACACAACGCAGCGAACCAAAGTTCTTAGCAGAAGATCTATCAATTGATTCAATATACTCTACCCATTTCAATTCAATGGAAAACATTAACCCGATAAAGAGCAATGTATCACCTTCTTTCATTGTGAGTACTTCGTAGTTGTCTGGGAAATAGAATGATGAATGCATCTCAACTACATGGAGCCATTTCAGGTCTGAACCGTTTCAATGTAAAGCGTCAATTAATGCTTCGGAATAGACAGGAACAGTCCAAAACGTCTTGTTTTTCTTATGTGAACCGATCAGATGTTATTTTTCAACTCTACCCCTGCTCACGATTTGAAGAGCATCTAAAAGTGGTTTGAGGACGAATACATCACTACCATGCGTTGACCTGGTCACAGTCGCCCCCCATATGAATGTGTGTCTATGTATATGTGAATGTCATCCCAAACAAACACTGATGAAATCATTTTTATTACCTCCACCGTACAGTTCCCAGATGTTTAAACTTGTTCGATTTTTGTATCTCCAATCTGCAATTTGCATGTTGGGCAAGTTGCTAACAACGATGCCTTGTGTCTTCTTGCAATTAATGTTTAGTCCATTCTTCTCGCTTTCATTCGCTACTTTCTGTAGTAATTCTTGTACTTTCCTTTCTGTATCCGCTATCAAAATCCTGCCATCTGCATATTTCACAAAACCTTATAACTGTTAACAAAACAGACATATCAAATCTGTATATGAGAAGAAAACCACAACAAGGTGAAGATGAGTAAAGACAATAGAATAAATAGAAAAATCGAAATAATATATATATATATATATTTTTTACATCATCACTTGATAAGACACAGAGTGTGTTGAAACAAAATGGCTATTTTTGTAGTGATTTTATAACATACTTATGTTATAATTTTTTTTATAAAAATAATTATATATATATATATATATATATATATTGTTGTGACCAAGTAAATGATTTAAGAAATAACAAAACAAGTGTTACAAATATATCATATATTAAACAGTAAATACAACAGAAGAGTATTACACGACTCGTGAGTATGGGTTGGTTGTCCAGCGTTCAATCTATTTGACTGTACTCCCAAGGTCTTCTCTCCTACTAATTTTATAGTAGGTGGAACAGTCCAACATGGACTCTTTAGAGGAAGGACACCACAGCATATATATATATATATATATATATATATACATATTATATATATATATACCTACAAACTTAATGGATATCGGCTTGGATTGAGGAATCGGAGAGCCGTTCGAATTCTAGTCGAATCCATTACATAAACTTACGTGCTAATACCCTTGGGAAAGGTGTGAATCCTCTTCTTCTCCATCCAACTATGGGTAAATGGCAGGGCAGACTGGGTTCTATAGCCTTGGATGGCAACTGGTCTAGGAGAAGGACAAACTCTGAATTTAAAACCTTCGGAGGGTCGTTTGGGGACCTTGTGGCACGTAGTGCACCAGGTCTCTGTATCCGGCCCTTCAAAAAGTGTGGATGGTCCTGCACGTAACCTTCACCACTATAATCAAATCTCGTGTGTTGTTGTCCGGCTGTCGGTTTCCTAGGAACTGATCTGCTTGATCCTCATACGTCGAATCTCGACAGGAGAGTCGAGTATATATATATATATATATATATATATATATATATATATATATATATATATATATATATATAAAATGTCATAAAAAGATGCTAACCGGTTTTCGATCCTCGCTCTTCGGAGTTAATCGACTGCAAACATAATTCTTTTTTCAATAACATTTAAAAGAAAGTAAATAAATAAATAAAATCTTACTTTCTTACGCGGAATTCGAAAGTGCCTTTCAATCTAATGACATTTTTCCAGATGTTTTGTACCCAACTTGGGGATGTACAAACATTTTTTCGTTCGACTACCTTTCCTTTTAGAACACTCAAGAAACTATAACGTCAAATATTGAAAGTAGAGAGAAAACGCACCTTATGACAATTGCGTTATGCTTCCGAAACAAACACCTGTCATTCGGGTTGACATTTCACTTTACATTCGACCTCTTCAATGTTGAATGACAGTCAACAGCTTCATAAATCCTCCAGTCGTATATAGAACTCGCCAGCTTTCTTACACATTATGTGTTCACTCAATTTAGAAGGTTATCTAACTGGAGCACAGATTTTAAACGACGTTTTAAATAGTCAGTTATGCATAATGGTTTTTGTATATAATAATTGTAAAAGAATTAAGTTCATTTCAAAAGCAAAATGGTCTTACGGCCATATAACGTTTAAATATCGGTTTCCATACGATCACTGAAGTTAAGCAACGTCGAGCCTGGTCAATACTTGTAAGCTTAAATCTGAGGGTATTGCAACGGATAAAGGCACGGAATTGTTAACCGAAGAGCAGAGTTCCAAATCCAGATGGGTTTGTTTATATTCACTTTCGCGCAAATACCCTCGGTAAAGATATGAATCCATCACTTCTACCCCGAGTTATGGATTAATTAGTAAGACTCGTATTATTATTTTCCGAAAAAAAAAAAAAAATTCTTATTATCTAAACAAATGTCTTCTGGCTTTAAATAACCTGCAAAAGTTTAATAAACCGTAGGAAACAAATCAATCAATCAAATGGTGAATGAGATGTACGACTCCCCCCACCTCGTCTCGTAGGACATTTTAATATATTCCATCTTTCATTGAGGTGCTGGATCTTAATTTAATCCTGTTGTATTAAATATAACTAATTTTTATCTCAATACAACCCGAAAGAGCCACTCAGGGTAGAGGGTTACGCAATCAGGTTGTTGTATAAGTGAAGGAGGTAGGAAGTGCAGTTCATAAGGTTATGTAGAATAGATAACGGTTAAATTTGATCTGGGAAGCATCCTCTAGGGTGTCTGTTTCACAAGGTAATGATTCTCAGGAAGAAGCTGTACGAATGGAACTTTCTTCCTAGTAATGGAATAAAAAGGGACTGGATAAAATTTGTCCCAGTGTACGTAGTATGGTGACTCTTACATGTGAAGGTCTGAATTAGCGGAACTATGTACTTTTACACGTGTCTAGCAGAAAGAATTAGAAATTAACGTATGTAGATCAAAATAACGTCCTGAATATCTGGGCAAGAAATGTGAACCCCACGAATGTGGAAAACTTAGGAATCAGCGAATGACATAACGAGCAAAGGAATTTTTGTTTTTAATTAATAAGATTGGTTCTGTTTAAAATCCTCAATCAATCAAAGGAAATCATTTTTAGTTCTTCTTTAGATAAGTATTTCATGTTTGTTTTGTTAGGAATGATTTATGTTCGCTTGTCTATCTATCAGGTGGCGTAATAGGGAGCGGCTCGGGATACAGAGAGTCGTGTTCAAATTATGTCTGAGTTCGTTTCATTCACTTACACGCAAATAGCTGTTGTAAAAGAATGAATTCATTTCTTCTCTTCTACACAAATAACTGGGCATACCTCTCTAACCATGGTTGGCAACCAATTTAGGAGAAGCACGAATTAACAATTTAAAACTGTATATGCCTCTGGGACCAAATTATGGGTTGCCCTTTAGCCATCATAGCACCCTGAAGATACTATGGTTACGGTGAAGACGTCGGTAGGAGAATGATTGATGTAGTCAATGGTACAATCTAACAGATCGGATTTCTGTCATTGAACTGCATTCGTTTTATGCAAAAAGATTTTTTTATAATGGAGAATTGATGAGATCTAATTATTCCGAATCAGCTGGAAACAAGAGTAAATCTATTCGCAACCGATTCTCACCTATGTGCAACCGACAGCCTTCCTATGATACCACATGGGGCTACCTGACAGGCTATCTAGTTCTTTAGTATTAAGGAAACTAGATTAGATACATTTTTAATGTTTGTTTTAATAGACGAGAAAGAATCAGATAATTTTTAGGTGAGATATAGGTGTTATAGACAACGCAATTCAGAAAACTGGATCTGGACAGGAAGGGATATGCTGCATTGGTAATTTTTGCTGACGTAGCTCCCTCTGTTTTTTTTTTCATAAATATTTTCATGGGATCTACTTTTACGAGCTATTTTTACTGGTGTCTTGACTGCATGAATGAATTTAAGCGTGCTACGAGGTTGTCATCTCGGTCCCACCATTTTAATGTCGAAACAGTTAAATGTAACCGCTTCTTCTACTCCAACAGCTTCTCTCACATTTCCCGACAGTAGAACTGCCTTACTTGCTTCCCTGACAATTATAATCTTCAAAAATTTAAAGGCAGCACCAATCAACATAGTCTGTTGCCTTGATACTCGTTCTTCTTTTTATCATTTCCTTTGTTTCCCTATATCCAGCCTTTTCCCTTATTTAAACACTCTGGAGCCCTTGCGTACTAGTAGCCTTTTCGCCTTGCTTGGATTGAATTACTTAAACACACACACACATACACAAAGTGTTTTAGAGCCGATTAGAATCCTTGTTCATGCTCCCCTCTTAAAGATGCATTATATATTCCTCCGGACTATTCCATTTGTATGGTTCCACTCGTGTTAATAGTTGTCGAAGATATTTTCTATCGTAACGTGTCTTTTGGTATAACGATTCCATATGGAACCGTTAGATTTAGAAACCGGATAAGTGATCACATACCTCCCTTGAATTCCTCGACAGATGCCTGAATTGCAAGAGAGCTTAATAAACTGACTCACAAGTTGAAATAGTGATAATTAACGAGTGACTTGCAACGTGCCGTCCGTGGGAAAGGGTTTGTAAGATGGAAAATAATTCATCACCCACAAGGCCGCCTTTTTAACACAATCAACACTGGGCAGTAGATGTGATGCATTGCATCCCAGTTTGTATTCTGCCAATCACTTTATAATTTACATTAGTATGCTCGGGAGTTCTGCATATTTGTAGTTTTCAGAAGATTTTAGCTTCTTAAAATTCACTTACCCACCCTCAATAAAAAAGAAAATGTGCAAAAAAAAAAAAAAAAAAACATTACAGGAAACCTTTGATTCAATGAACAACAGCTAAATTAATTTAAGGGAAAATCGCGTCCTTCAGTAAAATTATACATTGTTTTCGAAAATAATCTTTTATATAATCGTAGGTATTTTCTGGGTAATATACATAAACCACTTGAAAATAGCCAAGTAGATTATAGTGTGGTCTCGTGAATTTGGTATCATAGCCATTATAGTTATTTTCCAAGCAAAGCTTAGATGTGGCACAAGGCTGAAAGTATGGGACATCTAGTGAGGATCGAACTCACTTTTCAGTTGTAACTGATCTAGCGAGACAAGCTTGCTAACCATTCACTACGCCGAGGTGCCCATATCATAGCCATTATATGTTCAATCCTTGTTCAGTTTAGTACAGATTCAGGTTCAGTGGATTTGATTGGTTGATTTGTTTTCTACGACTTGCTAAACCTTTTCAAATTAATTAAGGCCAGAAAACATTTTTAGATTCTAATAACGTTTTGGAGATAATAATGATTTAGTGATACAAGTCTTAGTAATTAACCTATATGTTATGGGGTCCACCCCTTTTAAATATAAATGGACTCTACTAAGTGTACCTGGACTGCTGCCGTTAAATACCCAGAGTTACAGTCGGTAGTCGGATAGAGTGAGGTAACCTCTTGTAGAAGTCAGTTACAAGCACGTAGACTCTAAGGAAGTCCTACTTCGAGACTGTATATATCTATCTGTATTTGCTACTAACCGCGTTCCTGGACTTACTAACAGTAAGTATTGTATGATTGTGTAAATACATTTTATTTCTTATATTTAATTATTGCGTTTGTCATTCCTTGGAGACCGAATTTCATCTCGGAATCCTCAACACTATAGCTGGGATGAGAAGAGATGGATTAATATCTTTCCCAAGTGCATTTTTGCGTAAGTGAATATAATGAACCCAGTCTGAATTGGAACTCGGCTTAATTAACATCCAGAGCCATTATCCACTGCACCACCTGAATATCTAAGCTTACAACACCTAGTATTCTAAAGCGGTCACCCATCTAGGTACTGACAAGATGTTGCTTAACTTCGGTGATCGCATGGGAAACGGTGTTTCAACGTGATATGGTCGTAAGCCAGACTCGGTAGAAAAGGAACGAGCAATAACTGAGCAGTACAAAGAAGGCCAAGACGAGATATGCCGACACATTGGCGGCGGAACGAGAACATTCTTCCCTTGTATATTAAAGAAAAGCGTCCACTTCAAAATTCGACTGACACGTGATGAAGGACATCGGGCACAACGGCCGAAACTTTGTGATAAAAAGAGCAAAAATGAGAACATTAATTCGAATGTAAATATAGAAGTTTTAAAAGATTCCCTAAATTGTAACTGTTCTGATATTATTCATTTTCTGTCGACGATTCCTCTTGGGATATGTTCCAGAACGAAGAAGATTTGCTCAGAATTACATTTGCTGTTTCAACGATGAAATTGATTCAAAACAAATCTAGATCTCGATTGACTGATCAAAATTTGAAGAATTCCAATTTACTCTCGGTAACTAATTAGACTTCAAATATGAAAAGTTTGGCCAAATCAAAACGAACTCAAATTTTTCATTAGAGAAAGTAATAATATTCATCATCTTTAATATTAAATCAATGAATTATATGAAAATGCTAAATATATTTATATAATCATTTTTGCTACAATTAGTGGAGATACAACTTTTGTACAGGGTCTCTGAAATTATGAGCGAGCAACTGACATATGGTTACTTTTTTTCATAAACCAACTTACATTAAAGCATATATATATATATATATATATATATATATATATATATAAAATGAACATTGGCCCGTGAAGTCAACACTTAGGCAACAGTCTGTTTTTTGCTAGACGCAATCGTCAGACCACTTGAAAATAGCTAACGATTGCGTCTAAATCTGAAACAAATTCGCCTCTAAAACACTTCAATATTCACTTTGTATTTAATACGCTATATCTCTGATATTGAGCACTTTAACTCATAAATATAGCACACCTGAAGACATATATATATATATATATATACATACATAAATTAATTTAATTAGAAAACAGACCCAACTTCTTTTCAGAGCTCCCGAAATAAAAAATTATTACCTATGGGATTTTAATGTTTGGTATTCTTTAATTATTATTATTATTGATAATAATAATAATAAATACATACACACACACACACACACACACATACATATATATATATATATATATATATATATATATATACATATATATATATATATATATATATATGAAATAAAATTACAGCTAATATTTTATCTGAATATGCAATTATGGATTGTTTTAATGTTAAAATAAAGTCGACGTCGGACGTTTCGGTTATTTAAGACCATCTTCATGGACATTTTCATTTAAACATAATTAACATTAGAACTAAAAAATTTAACACAAATCTGTATAAAATTTCAGTTATCTGTTTGGATCAGTTGTTTCTTATGTCCATCGTCTTTTGTGTTAAATTTTTATATGTTCTAATGTTAATTATGTTTAAATGAAAATGTCCATGAAGATGGTCTTAAATAGACCGAAACGTCCGGACGTCGACTTTATTTTAACATTAATATTAAAACATTGCATATTCAGATTTTGTTTTCTGTATTTTCTTTCATACTGTCTTATTTATATATATATATATTTACATTTATATATATATATATATATATAAGTTATGATTGGTGTATACGGAATGAATTCCAATAACCAACAATTACTATTCTTAAAACAGTGCTCAATACAGATATATGTATACAGATATAATTATTTATTTAAAAATTATAATTCGAAATTGAAAAAAATAATATAATGATATTTTTTTGTAGTGATTTTCATAACATATTTATATTATAATTTTAACGTTTATGAATAATTATATGATATGATTTATAAAATTATCGGTCTGGTGCAGTAAAAGATAACTATAACATATATCAATTCGGCATTTAATCTCCTTCGAAATAGTCCCTTTCTGAATTCACACACGCCCTCCAACGTCGTTTCCACTGATGCAGTTATTCATTGAAGTCTCTTTTTTGGGGGGGGGATAGCGTACAGACGGATTTCCTCGACGTCTTGAGATAGTGGGGTTTGATTTCTGAACGTGAATTAGTCGCATTGGCAGAGATCTGGGGAACATGTTGGTTGTCGAACCTGGAGAATGTTGCGCTATGCGAAAAAAAACCCATCTATATAAGGCATCGTCACTGCTGAAACCTCTGTTGTGTGATGAAACGCCCACACTCTACACACTTTCAATCCAAGCACTGCTATAAACAACGGAAGTGAGTGAGAAGGTCATAACTACGTATGTATGCGCGACAATGTTCAAAGTCAATCTGTGTCAAGCGGCTTCACTCTGTGTATTTTAGATCCATTATTATACCAACCACCTCGGTACTTTTTTTAAACAGAACTCGTGTATATATATATATATATATATATATATTATATATATATATATATAAGTTATGAAAAATTTGGTAATCCGTATGGGTTGTCCCAAGGAGGATGAAATTTATTGAGAATCAATGTAAATCCAGAATTCATGAATTAGATTCATACTTATAAAATGTTACCGTAACTGTCTTTTACAATATTAAAAAGAGTACTATTGGTCGGGTAAACAAACTGTTATAGTTTAAAACTTTCTTCGTGGGTTTTTAGACATCTAAATTAATATCAAACATTAAAATCTATTTTTTACATAAATTGCTAAAACTTACCACCCTCTCCTTCATATGTAAAACCCAGCCTCTTTCTCTTTACTTCCCCTTTCTTTGTTTCCCTTTTTCTTTTCTCTCTTCTCCTCCTCCCATTTCAATTTATCACTTCCGTTAAGTTAACCGTTTAAATAGTTCAAGGTCTGGTCACTCCTCCCCCCCCCAATACTAAGTATGATTGAGAGATATAAATTAAACCCTCCCTAAACTCTACCATGTCTCTCTAACCACTCCTTTTACACTCTCTGTTAAAAATACAAAAACTTACACTACCCATCAATTTTCATTTCATTTTTCGTTTCATCTTTTGGAAGTGCTATCTGATGATCCGGCGTCCTTTAAAAGGGCTCTGGTGAAATAAATTATTATAATGGAACCTTAAAGTGGTTGGTTTTTCTTATATATATATATATATATATATAGTTTAAATGTTTATAGAAGTTAATTTATTATCTGAGATAGAGCGTTTGTAGGTATAGGTAGTGGGAACATGGAATCAACACCGCATAGTGACTCTCATTTTCGAACCATAAGTGATCTTTAGACCACGTGTTATTAATCAAGCACAACAACAAATACTCACCCAAATCAAGCAATCTGTTTAAAATATTCATTAGAAATACTTTAAAACCCTGCTGTAGCTCTACCGAAATCATTCTACAAATGATTAAAACTGAGCGGAAAAGTCCTCAGTACAGAGATTACCCAGACCCACACCTGTAATTTCAGAACAAATTACGAAGCCCATTAAATAGTAACTGTCTACAAAATAACGTAATAGACCATGCCATTATAATATCTATACGAAACCCAGAAGAAATATATAAAAAAAAACAATAGAAGATCTCTGGGAAAAGAAAACTACTCTCACAAATATCATTTAACAAAATAAATATATGAAAATAGCGCAATACTTTCAAAACATATGTGGGTTCTCTAAAAGAGAAACGAAATAATAGTCCTGGATATGACAATAAACCACATCCTACAGCATTATTTCTACTATCGATGGGAGTTGAGAAATGCAAAGTCGGTGTTGGCCTTTTCACTAACTTAGAGCATGTGCATGTAAATTTTGGTGCAAATCCGTCGAAAATTGCGGTCGTGTATTCGTTGCACACACACACACACACACACACACACACACACACTGCCTTTTATAGATAGAGATGATATATACTGTTCTTTTGCTAAAGCAATACATTACTCGACGTCACACGAAGCAAACACGCCCTACGTTATCGGTATTTCTGGTTACAATTGAGTCCATTATTCATGTTGGCCTTGTGTCAGACTTAGCGGGTTTAGTTAATGTTCGCACCATATCGAGTATTTCATGATAAACTTTATTAAGAGAAAGGTAGATATGTATTCAAAAGTCCGTTTCCGAGTAAAACAAACCCAACTTATAACTTCTTCGTGTCAGGGAGGGTTACTCATTTTGCACCGACGCTAAAGATCAATGTTGGATCCAAGATAAAAGCTAGATCTATAAATGCTTGATTTTTAAAGCGCATTTAATGTCCTCATTGACGTAACACAATATGCAACACCCACATTCCATTTCGATTTGAGCTTGTACTGTTACATAGCATACGGATAAAAACTCACAGAATACATTTTTTTTTATTACTGACACTCTATGAGTAGTTTGTTTGCACATGAACTTCATTGCGAAGGAGTATGACAATCCTTTAAAAATACCTATCATATATGCCAAAACTATGTCATCTCTATTGACAATCTTTTATTTATCTTTCAATATTTCCCATTTTCGATATTTGACCAACCCAATCCCAAATATATTGACGAAAAAGAAATACAATAATAAATGCGTACAAAGTAACGTATTTTATATAAAAAGCGCTATTTAAAAAAAAAAATCAAGGATATAAAAATGCTAGTTGGGGAACACTAACCCAGGCATGGTCAAACATTTCCGACCAGTGAGTCCCAACAGATATGACTCATCATAAGACCATACTACTAAAAAGATTTAATGTAATTTTTCGTTAAAGCTGTCTCAGCCATTTTCATCACGGAAGACCATATGCGCAAATATCTGCCATAGAAATTGGTAAAAGGTTGACTGCTTTTTGGAGAAAGATTTCTCAATAATTAAAAAAAAAAATCCCGGTATAATTTATAACAGATGTCTACAATTTTTGCTTATTAGAACTTCTTGTAGAAAAAAAGTTATTTCATCTTATCAACAAAAAAAGTCTGTAAAAATTAATTTAGAGTAGTAATCTTCAACTAAGTTGTAATATCTACACTGACGAAAATAAGTTTAAGACCGATGGTTAAAGTTTTATTCATATCAGAATATCTTTCTAATAAAAC